GCCCGAGCCCAATTCAAAGTGCTTGTTTTGACATATAAAGCCCTAAACAGCTTGGGCCCTGGATACCTGAAGGAACGCCTCCTTCCATATGAACCTACCCCGCAGTTAAGATCTAACCAGGAGGCCCTTTTGAAAGAACCATCCCTTAAGGAGATAAGAGGGAGGGCTTGTAGAGAAAGGGCCTTTTCAGCAGCTGCCCCCAGACTATGGAATGCCCTCCCGACTGAGATTCGTCTGGCACCGATGCTGATGACATTTCGGCGCCAGGTCAAAACCTTCCTGTTCCAGAAGGCTTTTAACTGAAATAACATCAACTGTAGGTCTTGATGAGGGCAATTTTAATTGTATTTTAATTGTATTTTAATCACTTTATATTTTATTGTATTGAATTTTAATTGTTGTAAGCCGCCCAGAGACCTTTTGGTAGAGTGGGCGGCATATAAATAAAATAAAATAAAATAAATAATAAAATAAATAGGATGATACAAAGGCTTTAGGACAGAAATAGTAATGCAGAAAGCCACACATATCTCCTATCTTTTGGTGCGTTAACTTCAGAATCGGGGGCGGGGGGCGGGAAGCAGAATTAAGATACGGTAGTTAATGGAATACTTTATTTTATAATGGACACACTCCTGGAAACAAAAGTAAAGGGCTAATGCCCCCAAACAGACTAATATCTGACACATCCATGTAAAAGAAAACTTCATGTATACTCAGAATGTTAGGTCATCCCAAGAAAAAGTTTGCTTTTAAAGTTTTAAATGTTTTAATTACTTAATGAATTTTAAATTATTACTGTAGTTTAATTGCTTTTTAATCTGCAATTGATTGTGTTTTTAGTATAACTTGTTTTAGCATTGTGAGCCGCCTTGGATTCCCTTATACTGTAGTGTAAAAATAAGATGACAACCTATCAACATACATAGGTCAATTTCCCTTATCAGTTACTGAGGTATATTCAAAAGAAAACTGCAACTGAACTCACCAGCATGAACTAAGGATTGCAATGAGAATTCTGATTCTGAAACTGAACAAGAGTCCAAGATGTATTTGCTTTGAACTGTGAACAGATTATTTTGTACTATTTTGTCCTAACTCCCTCTAAAAATTTCCTCCTACGGAGTGTTCAGAGGAGCATTATGGGGACAAAATATATGCATAACAACAAGCATTGGGACGACAATCAAATGGAAAATCCCTCTCAACTAGTAGAGTTTTCCTGACCTACAGATTTTAAAATAGGAGGAAGCGTCTTTTGGCCTTTCAAATGTTCTTGAACTGCAACTTCTATCAGCTTATTCAGCACATCCAGTGCTGATGGATAAGGGGAGCTACAATCCAGTAACAGCCAAAGCCTTATGTTCCTGTTCTGCTTTAACACAAGTTGTCTATGCTTACAGTTTCAAAACTGTGAAGCAAGTTTTTCCCCTCTTTCAAAAAATTAAGGTTCAATCCAATAAAAACATCCAGTTACTGTTAGGTAACGAGTGAAGTCAAACCCATATGAACAGCCTTCATTGGCATGCAGGTTTCTACATTAGCCTTTTCCAAAAAACTCTGTGCGATCTGTAAAAAGTCACAAAAGTTGTGGGCAGTGAGTTCATTCTTAGGAAGTTTAAATAACTTCAGGAATCTGCATTAATGGCCTTTAAATATGGAACTAAAAAAATCGGAGTTGTCATCTCTCTCAACACCAGTTGCTGGAGAATAAGAAAGAAAAAAGACAATTGCCTTCAAGTCCTCTTTTTGGGCTTTCCAGAGGTAATACCTAGCTGGACACTGTGGGGGACATCTACTGGCTCAGTGGTGTTCTCGGACTGCAAATCTCAGAAGCCTTTACCACCAGCTGTGCTGGTGAGAATTGAGAGTTTTTGAGAGTTTCCAAGGTTTGAAAGCATTGTACTGGATGTAGCTCTGGGCTGATCCAGAGGGATCATATGACCTGTTCAAGGGATGTGCTCCTGATTTACATCCATTTTAAGTACTGTACACATACAAGAGATAACTAGAAACATTATATGGGATTCATACACATATTGTACAGACCAAATAGCTGTTAGTCAAGCTATCCAAGGCTGCATAATGCAAAGGTAAAATAAGTTCCTTTCTCTAATATGTACTAAGATCAAGAACGGAACAAAGTTAAAGCCAGAAACACATGTTATCTGTAAGCAAAGCAAACACTACGTATTAGGGTTTCCTTAAGCTGAGTCTGCTAAATACAGAAAGCATTTCCTTCCTTTTCCAAGACCTCTTTAAAGAAAGTACAGTTAAGCAATGACCTTACACACATCCTGTCCATATTTCCTGGGAAGAACCCTATGCATTTTCAGAGCTAGCTGCCACAGCTGCTACCAGTTTGTTTGGGGAAGCCTGGAGTGCCATACTGCACCCTGTTTTATGTGCTGATCCTTACACAGCCCCATACAATTTTCAAAATGCCCACACAGCTGTCAAAGTTTGCCTAAAGGTTCTCTCATAGCCATAGTACAAAACAAACAATAATTGTATGCAGATAAATTTTTCTACTCAAGGATTATAGCATTTAAACATAATAATGTCTCCTTTCTACAGCAAGTCAGATTTTCTGATTAAAAAGATAAACAGTATGCTGAATAAAAAGCACATGTAGGTGACACTGTACATCAAGCCACTAGAATGAGTTTATAAAGAAAACATGCAAAAATATTCATTAAGTACTATTTCTTGAGCTTTCTTTCATTGGTACAATGTTTCTTCCTCTTAATCAGAAGTGAGGCAAAATGGAGTTCTTTCCACAGAAAGCCATTACTTAAAGAAAATCTATTTCAGCAAAGGTGCAGGGGGCACACAAGAACAGGAGCAAAAACTGTCCACTTCCTGCATAAGTGGCAACTTACAGTGAGATGCTATGCAGCCCCTTCCTTGTCTCTCTTAATAATTTATTTCAAAGGAAGGTTCATGACTTCATAGTGA